CAGGGAGGCCAAGCAGCCTGGTGGCAGAGGCTGAGGCAGGAGGTGCCCTGGAAAGGGAGGTTGACTCCCGCTGAGAAGTGGCTTCTGTGCCCTGCAGAGGTTTGGACTGTGGCCTGGTGGGCAGCCACCGAAGAGTTTTAGCAGACACTTCTGTGACATAGAAGTTAAGAGTCCCTTTCCTCTGTCTGCTCAGGCTGCTGGAGCAGAGAGGCCCATGCCTGGGGCCTTCATCTGCAAAGACGGCCTGCCTTAGGGTTCTGGAGGCCAGAAGCCCAAGGCCAGGCATTGGTAGCAGTGGCTGGGCAGGGAGGGGTGGCCTGTCCAGCCCTCCCTGGTTGTGACAGCGTCCCTGTGCCCACAGGTGGCTTTCCTGCATAGTTCTGTCCTGGATTCAATCTCTACACACCTTTTAAAGTGTACCGGTCGCTCTGGCTAAAGGCCCACCCCAGTGACCTCGATTGACTTGATTATTGATGCAGAGAGCTGGTCTCAAGTGAGAATCTGACACCTGGGTTCAGGCCTCCAGTGCAAGACCCAGGGGCCCACGGCTCTGCCCCTGTCGTCCCTGTTCTTGAGCATTTCAGACCAGTTTGGGACAGGAGGAAGGGAAGCTAAGTGCCACATTAGAGGTAGGAGGGTCGAGGCCTGGGGATTCCAGGAGGGGAGTCGTCCCTGAAGTGCAGCAGGTAGATCAGGCTGGAAGCACTGTTGGCTCTGTGCAGGCTGCAGGGACACTTCCTATCCCTGTGGTTCTGAGCACGTTGGGCCCGTTCTTGGCGTCCTCTAGCGTGCCCTGCCCTCAGTTCCTTGCCCTCTGGATGCCAGCACAGGCACAGGTCTCAGTGCAGTAGAGGTGGAGGTGGGAACTGGCCAGCCAGGCTCAGGGAGTCCCAGCCTTTTGGGACCCACCAGAGTGCCCCAGCCCTCAAAGTGCAGTGTGCAAAGAACAAAGCACCCTGTGAAGTGCAGGGAGGAGGGGGGCAAAGATGCAGGGAGTGTGTCAGAAGGTCAAGGGGCAGTGGGACACCTTGAACTTCAGTGCCCGTGGGACCCCCGCCCCTGCATGGTGACACACAACACACACACACACACACAGTCAGAGCAGACGCCCCTGGGATGGGCTGCTGGTGCTCCTTCCCTCCCACCTTGGAGGGGGGAGCCAGGTGGAGCCATGGCTCTTGGTCCTCCCCAGGGGGACTTTTTGAGACCCAGAGCCAGATGGGAGGGTCCAGAATCCCCGCCAGGAGGCAGCCCTGGGTGCCCGACAGTGTGTGGGCTCATCCTGTGCACTAGTGCGCCAGGGCTGTCCTGGTGGAGGGCCCCCTGGTCACTGCAGTGGTCATCCCTGTCAGTCCTCCTCCCTCCTGAAGGTGGGACTCTATGATGAAGTTGATCCTCACGTCAATCATGGGTTAATTAACAGTCCTGAGCCTCAGGTGGCGGGCTCAGAGGGAAGGCTAGTCAGAAGGTGGGCTTGGAGAGGAGCCTTGGGGGGGGAGCGGAGGTCCTGGGCTCACTCTGTGTCCCACTGGCTGGGGGCTCCCTCTCTTTCAGGGGTGCTGCTTTCCATGGGGTTTGGATTTGTGGAGTACCAGAAGCCGGAGCAAGCCCCAAGAGCCCTCAAACAGCTGCAGGTAAGTGGGGCTCAGAGCTGAGGTCTGTGGGGAGCCTCAGCAGGTGGCAGGGACTGTTGGCCTCTGCCACTGGGGTGCACTGGTCATCCTTTGCTGCGTGATGGAGCCTGGGACCCGCAGCTTCTGCAGTAGCAGGTTCTGTGGTCGGAGGTTGGCAGCCCTGCTGGGCTCCGGCTCAGGTCTCTGCTGGGGCTGCAGTAGGTGCCACCTGGGTTGCAGCCCCTGGAAGGCCCACTAGCACTCAGTGAGGATGTCCCTACCATATTCCGAAAGGTACAACTCATGTGCCTTCCCCTGGTCCTGTCTGGCGAGCAGCCTCTGGGTCCTGTAGGGAGATCAACTTTTGTGTCCCGTGATACAGCCCCTCAAACCAGACATGCTCCCCTCCCGAGTGTCCCCTGGGGGAGAACCCCCTACCCTGTGCACACCTCCTGGGTCTGCACAGCAGCTGAGCGCACCCTGACCTATGTGCCGTCTCCCTGGGGGCCACCACTCAGGGTCCCCAGCTCCAAACAAGCGGCTGTTTCAGAGACCCGCCTTCTGCCTCCACTTCCCAGGGACCTTGTCCTCAGAGGCAACTCATTTCCTGGAGCCTCAGTTTCCTCACCTGTGCAAGGGGAGAGTCAGCCTCTCACGACCTTGCCAAGACTTAACCCAGGGAGGGATTGAGGGAGGGAGGGAGGGACTGAGGGAGGGAGGGACTGCCCTGGGACTGCTTTGTGTGGCGGGGATGGGGGGTCACGTGGGACCCCAAGGCCCCACAGTTCCCAGGATGCAGGAGCAGCTGCTGCCTGAAAATCTGCGCAGGAGGAGGAAGATCTGCTGCTGGCTGGAGCCCAGGGCTGGGGTGCAGTGGTCCCAGCGGAGACTCCCCGGCCTGCTCCCAGGGAGAGGAGTACTGACCCCTCCTGCCACACGGCTGAGCCTCTCCACCAAATGGCACCCGCTGGATGGAGGCAGGCCCTGTCCAGGGCGAGGAAGCCGCTTCTCTGGGCAGGGTGACCCTGGCCCAGCTCCCCCTCACATTGACTCCATTCCAGTGACCCCGGCAATGGTGACGACAGCCACAACAGTTCAGGGATTCCTAACTGCCGGAGTATGTGTTTCAAGGCCCCGGCCCAGGGTCACTGGGGCCCCTGTTCAGACTCCAGCCTGTCCCCTGCACCCAGAGCTGTGGCTCAGGAACCGGGCCGGGGGACAGAGGTGGGACAGAGGCGGGACTGAGGCAGGGCTGAGGCTGGGTGGGAGGGGATATCTGTGCTGGTGGCATCTAGATGGGCTCAGGGGGAACAGGAAAAACGAGGGTGGACGGGGACCCCAGGCAGGGCCTGGGCCTGGGCAAGAGGTGACCTCACTCGTGGGGGAAGGCCAGGGGGGTCAGACTGGGTCGGCCTGGTCCAGAGTGGGATGCCAGCAGGTCATGCTGGCCGCCTGCAGAAGGGGGTCCTTGTGGGTGACGGAGGCCGGGGGTCAGGCAGCCTGGGGCCTTCATGGGGAGTGACTTCCTGTTTGTCTAGGGGTCTGAACCCACTGGCAGAGTGAGGCCGGGAGGCAGGGACTGGGCCAGGCCGAAGACAGAGTCCAGCATGCCCACTGCCCCCGCGGCTCTGAGCAGGCCTGGTTGGGGCTGCGCTCTCCTTGCTCTGCTCCTGTCTCGGGGTCACTCAGGCCTGGCCTGCGTCCTGCCAGCAGCCCTCACTCGCACTGGCGCCCGGCACTCTCTGGCCTCCACGACGGGGCTACTGTCCCTATCGTCCTACTTCAGCAGCAAGGAGGGGACGAGGAGGCCGTGGCACTGGGCAGGAGCCGCCCTGGGCTCAGTGTCCGGGCTGCGCCCAGGGCCGAGCCAGGCCACTGAGCAGAACCCGCACCCGGGAAACGAGCTGAGCGCTGGGGAGCCCTCCTCGGGACCCAGGCCACTTTGGACACTGGACAAGGACGGGAACCTCGTCCCCACAAACGTACAGAGCGAGCTGAGGAGAGCCCGAGGGGCCCTGGGCTCATTGGGGTTCCTGCCCAGCGGCCCCGATCAGGAAGCAGATGGAAGTGCGGGAATGTCCTGAGCTTTACTCCTCGGCTCGCTGACCGTGGTCACCCCCAACAACAGAGCAATGACCATGACTCCAGGGTGCCTGGGCCTGTGGTTGCGGGCCGGGGTGGCTGCTGGGACTCAGGTGCAGGCTGCAGCCTGGCCATCTCTGCTGGGCAGTGTCTCTCACAGGAATGGGGGTGCTGTCCCAGCCCGGCTCCTGCCCACCTACCTCTGTGCCAGCTCACAGCTGAAGTGTCTGCGCGTCACCCTCATGGTCACTGTCCTCCAGCTGCTCCAGGATCCTGTCCAACACCACAGACAGCTTCTTCTTCGGGGCTCTGTAGAAGCCCAGATGGCAAGAGAGGAGGACACGGGGGTGGGAGACGCAGGTCCAGGAGGGCAGAGACAGAGGGGACATGTGCAGGGAGGAGCAAGGGAGGTGATGGAGGGGACATGGGGAGGGAAGGAGGGGAAAGGAAAGGTGGGATGAGGAGAGGGAAGGGCAGGACCCAGGATCCTGGCTCCCTCTGTCCCCCCCCCACCCCCCGCAGGCCTCCTCTATCCCCCCTCACCCCCCACCCCGCAGACCTCCTCTGTCTCCCCCCCATCCCATCCGTGAGGGCCTTCTCTGTCTCTCCCCCACCCCACCCCACTCCCCGCAGGCCTTCTCCATCCCCCAGTACTGACTGGAGGCCAGACGCCAATGACGTTGGAAGTGGCTGGCACATAGTAGGAGCTCAATAAAGCTGGGTGCAATGCTGTAGACCCCAGGGACCCCAGGGGTGGTGCAGAGTGACGATGAGGGGTGGCTTTGGAGAAGCGGGGACATCTGGTTTGGGCTTTGATGCAGGCTCCCCCTGATGGAGCACCTACTGCGTGCCACGGCCCTGCTCCTCTCAACGGCCCACAGTAGGTGTGCAGGGGGGCAATGAACCAGATAGGAGGTCTAAGGCTGTCCTGCTAGGAAGTGGCAGAGCATGGACCTGACCTCCAGTCACACGTAAGTCACGTCCTCTCTGCTTCTCACGACTCTGGTGCTGGCCAGAGAAGAGCCAGGAGACCACAGCAGCCAGATCAGGGGTGCTGGTTCCCTGGCCCTCCAGTTAGGAAACAGGGCAGGGAAGCTGGGCTCTGGGGTTCCTACTCTGTTAGTCCTTCTACTAGTCTAACCACTCATTGGTGGGTAGCCTCACTCAATTTAAGGCTTTCTTTGTACAGAGGCAGCCTGAAGAACCTCATGTGCTCCCACTCCTCCTCCTCCTCTTGAGTCTGCAGGTGCCTCGTCCCCCCAGAGCCCTGGCCTCCTTCCACACTGGCCTGGGGACTCCCCAAGGGTGGTGTCACAGTGCTTGGCCCAGGGTAGAACGTCTTGGTGCCCTTCCAGGGGACCAGGGGGACTGACTGAGCCACCTCCCCCGTCTTACTGTCCGTCACTAAAGGGGACATGGCCCTTCCTGTCCTCTCCACGCTGTGGTCTCCTTAAGCCCCTGTCACCTTCTCTCTGGGAACCCCAACCTCTTGGGACCCCTCTGAACATGTGCTCCAGGCATCTGTCACCTAAGAGACCCCACGTCCTCTGGGAATCGCCTGAGCTGGCCCAGGCTGCAAAAGGTGCCCACCTGGAGCCCTCGCCCAGCACCCTGCCCACCCTGCCCAGCCCACCCACCAAGGCAACATCCTCCTTTGTCCTGTGCACCTCTGCATCCCCAGCCTGCGCCTGGCACTGGGTGGGCTCTCGAATTCCCTAGGGTGAGCAAGTGGGCTAAGGTGGGGACACGCAGAGCTACCCACAGGGAGGCGGAGGAGGATCCAGTGACTGTACCCTGTTGGCGGTAGAGGGGGACAGCTGACAGGATGCGGTGCTGGCAGCCTCCTCCCCCTCCCTGCCGCTGCTCAAGTCCAGGGCCACGCTGATCGCCAGCCTCCGAGGTGCACAATGGCCTCTGAGATTGGATCCGTGGGCAGGTTACGGGCACCAGGAAATGGAAGGTGATAACACAGGCTGTGGCTGCCGCCCACGCTCGCGTGGGACACCCAAGTGTCTGGGCAGGTGCTGCCTACACCCGTGCAGAACGCACACTGACTTGCACCCGCACCGTCATCTGCGTCCCCTGCAGCTGCGTCAGGCGTCAACACGGAGGGCCTACCCACACCCGCCTTGGGACAGTGCTTCCCAAGAGGGACCACAGGTCTTGGGGAGGGACCCAATGCCCAGCCTCTGTGGGGCGCTGCATGACCCAAGAGCCCTGTGTTCTGTGGCTCCTCTCAGGAGGATGAGCAGCGAGAGGAGCCAGTTCAGGAGAAATCGAGGCTAAGGGACTCATTCTGGGCCTACAGGGGTCCAGAAAAGCCCAGGTACCTGTGCTCCTGCTGTGGTCCTATAGTGACCAGCTGGTGACCGGGGAGCCCAGAGTCCCCAGGCCCCAGCCTGCACATCTATAAAATGACGGGGAAGAACACGGGGATCCTGGGTGGGTTCAGCCCAGCAGCTCAGCCCCTCTGAACATGGGAGGACAGCAGCTGTCACCTGGTCCTTCCAGTGGGGAACACTCTAGCACCCACAACCCCACTGAGAACGCTGCCCCCTCTCAGATGCCCACAGCAAGCTGCTTCTCGGGGGAGGCCACCTGCAGCCAGCAGGAAGCCATGTGCTGGGCTCTGGGGCTGGCCTGCAGGTGGTGGCCCCATGGCAGGGTCTCTGCCTCCTGCTCTAGGAACGCTGCCCCTTCCTCTTCAGACAGGAGACCAAGGCCCTGAGAGCTGGAAACACTGCCCAGCGCAGAGGGAGCAGCTGGGGCTGGGACCGGCGATCCTTCCAGGGCCACAGGCAGAGGTGACCAAGGGACCTACGGAGCCTGGTGCACGGCCAGGCCCTGGTTCAAAAACGGGGGATTCCACAACGGCCGGAGCAGAACCCTAACCACGGCCTGTGTGGCCATGCGGTCACCTGCTCAGGGGCCAGCTGTATCCCAGAACCTCCTTCCTAGAAGAGGGAGACCACTGCCTTCTAGAAACCAAACTGAAAGCAAGGCCACCCTAAGTAAG